TCCAACCCATCATGGTCCAGCAAGCCTATGATGGAATTACTTACGCACGGCGGTGAGCACCATGAAATTGGTGATGGAGGATGATTGATGATGAGGACGGCGATGATTTCCCCTCTCCAGAGACCAAAACGGACTCCAGGTCTGCCCTCCCGAGGAAGAACAGGAGGTGGCGGCGGCTCCATATCGTGAAACGCGATGAAACCTTCTCTCTAATTTTTTCTCCCTGAACGTGAATATATGGAGTTGGAGTTGAGGTCTGTGGAGCTTCATGGGACCCACAAGCCAGGGGCATGCCTAGGGGGTAGGGCGCGCCCCCCGCCCTTGTGGACAGGTGGTGGGTCCCCTCTGATAGATTCTTTCGTCAATATTTTTTATTTATTCCAAAACTATTCTCCATGAAGTTTTGGGACATTCTGAGAACTTTTATTTCTGCACAAAAATAACACCATGGCAATTCTGCTGAAAACAACGTCATTCCGGGTTATTTCCATTCAAATCATGCAAACTAGAGTCCAAAACAAGGGCAAAAGAGTTTGGAAAAGTATATACGATGGAGACCTATCAACTCGCTTTTACAAGAACTGTTGGAGCACCTTTTTTGGGCCAACAATCCCTAAACCAAAAATATTTATGGGAAAGGGGAACTGCTGGTGATACTCTTGGGAAGGGAGAATTTTGAGGAGTTATAAACAATAGGAGGGCGTCAGTCTGTCAAAGCTCCTGGTTGTTGATGTAGTTGGGAGGTCATCGTGGTCTATCGTGGGGAGGATTAGTTGCGACAAGAGTATCTCTTCTTAGGGAGTTTTCTACAATGTTCTGTTCCTCGGTGGTTGAACACAACCTTCTCCATCTATACCACTAGTTTCACATCTAATGGCCGATAATTAATGCCATATCCTATGATCGCATCTCAAGCACAAATCGCATAGTAGTCGTGCCCTATCTATTAAATGTTTGCCGATGGTATGAAAAAGGATGGGAATTGTTTTAGAGAATACGAAGACCATATGCATTGTCCTGTTATTCCTAAAGGTACATTCTGGATGTCTATCTGTAGTTTTTGTTTTACCTTTGTTGTTTATTTTAGAGACTAAAGATGTTTGATCCACCGGCTAGCCCTAGAGAACACAGACGAAATATATAAGTGACTTTGTGCAAAGCTTTGGACCCCTATGTGCTATTCATATTCCATGAGTGACAATAATGGGGCTATATAGCGCACGCTAGGAATGGAAGTCTGGATTCTATCGCGAACCAGTTATCCGCTTAAGTCGTAATGGTTATCCATAAAGAATAATGCTTTGGTCCTATCATTTTTTACCTTAATACCTTGTCCGGAAGCAGACAAGTAACATAACCAATCCAATGAAAAGGAGAAAGTAGGATGAATACCACAATGGCGGAACTGGATTTAATGAGTAGACAACAATAAATGGATTTGATGGAGGGATAGTAATACATAACATCTAGATTCAAAGGATAATAAATAGGTTACCGATTAATGAAACTATATTCAATGAAAAATAATATAGTAACAATGTAAAAAATTTAACGCAAGTGAACATGGAATTTATTAGACATGACCAACAAGCATCCCAGCCCGGGAGTCAAAGGTAAAGTTCACAATTATACCCTCTTAGGGGGGTGCTCTAGCATTAACATATTATGACAGAAGAACACGAGTTCCACAAGAGCAGAGCCCTTTGGTTGCTTGAAGCACAACACTTACTAGTATATACATGAGGACCCATCACAAATACTCAGAACAAGTTTCGTCCCAAACAGAGAACTTAATAAGTCTCATACCTGAACTATGAATGGTAAAATATGCTTGATAACAATATAGATGAAATGTGATATATGGAAATTAATGAGGTTAGTGTTGTGGGCCTACAATATTAAGCTTCATGTCTCTCGAGGGAAAAAAGTTAAATCATGGAGATTTCTTGTTTATCGAAACACATTCATTTCCAATGGTATTGTGGAAAATGACAAATAACAAGTGAAAATAATATATATCTCATTGTACTATGAAAGCAATGCTAATAAGAGATCATGTACAAGCTCTCTCTAGGCGCCACATCATCTATAGTCAATCTAAAAGTTGAAACTACATTTAGTGCCCCCTAGTGGCTTGTGATGATTAATGACAAACATTTGAGGGATTATTGTGCTTGATGAGTATGCACACATGTGTAGTCCCATAAGATATTTGTCTAACCAATGGATTTTGACCCCTCAAATGTTGAAGACATGCTTGTTGCCTGAAGACTTGGTGGAGTTTATAGTTCATAGTGCCTCAGTGAGTCACTTTGAGTATAGGGCAAAGCATACTATTAAGATGGGGTTGGATATCATGGTTAGACGACGAAACTTGCTGATGCTCAGATAGAGCCCAACCAAATACACAATTTATCCTTTGAAATCTCTTTGAGATGCATTATCTACGCTCGGTTACATCGCTTTTGAGATTGGCATCATCGAGGGTGACATCTCTTGAATGTGTATTGATTAGTATTCGACATGGATGAGTGCTCGAGATATAGTTACCAAGTTTGGAGTCTTCAATTGTGAAATATGGGTCACCGCCCATACTTCTACATCGTGATTTAGGGAACTTAATCATTGGGGACACCTAGGTGTTTCTGGTTCTTCGCAAGTTGTGTTCGACTAGAACCACTAGGAATTTCTTGTGTTGTAAACCCATGTTCTATTGTGCACCTAGTTCTGTAGTATCGACTGCTAGCTAAATGACTTGGAGTTGCTAGCTAGTGTCTCGGTGTTGCTCAGTTGAGAGTCTATAAGAATAACAGCTAGTTTTCGGAGCATACCTATAAATAGTACCCTGCCTTGCTTGTTTGGGTGGACACTCCAATGCATTTGTTTCACTCTCATACTTTGTTTTCCCACACCTCTGTGTTATGGATCCACATATTAAAAGTGGCAATCTTTGAGAGAGTAGTTGACTTGTGATTGAGCATCAAGCAAGAACATCTTTTAGCCAAGAGATTTTACTTGTTCATCTTGGAGATTTTACATCTCCTATATTCGTAGGGGTTATTTTAGAACATACATCATGTGGATCTACTTCGATCAAGTTTGTACGGATCCAAGGATCACCTCAAGATCCACCTCGAGTGATTGGGTGATTTCTGTGTGAACTTACCTCAAGGATAAGAAGGTGAAGTCTAAGTGACTTTGAAGCATCATGCTCAACCTCTCCAAACGAAGACGTAGAGTATTGGCCAAGAACTTATTCATACTTGTTCTTGATATATACCGGTTTATGATCCGGTTGCCGCATAGATGTAGTTCTAATTCTTCATACCCGCCTCCTCCTTAACCTTTTTGACATAAATCTTAGAATCTCCTATTCATCCCATCTAGCTGTTAAACCTTGACCTTTCAATGTCCCATCCACATATAAGATATTGGCTCTACATGCAATGCCATTTTTCCTTGCTCACCTTCTTCTCTCACAAAGTGCAAGTTTACAACCCACTCATATTCTCTTTCGTCTCCTCTCTCCTCTCCACTCTTCTCTGACTCACAAATATGATGTGTCAAGTTGTATAGCCTACTTAATTCACCCTCTGGTACTTGCTCTAAGAAATAAAGAGATCACAATGGTAAATATCTCTTTATAATAAGATCAACAAAATAGTGTGTGTGAAAGGACTAAGTACATCAATGTAATGAGAATATAGTACAATACCAGAGTTGCTACTTGCTTGACTGGTAGAACGGGCATACCATACTGTTGCTTCCAACACAAACAAAAATAACACCAACATGAGTCTCTCTGCTCCTTCTTCTTGATGTGATCCCGGCAAAATTTCTTTTTAACACAGTACAATCGCAGATGTCCAAATACACACACATACACTCATTCCTATGAACGCGCACACACACCCTACCCCTATAGGCGCTTCGTAGTGGACAGAGGAACATCTCCTCACAATGAACGAAACATCGCCGGAAAGCCTGAAATAAATCCAGAAAGATGTACACACTAGTGTCAAGTCCAGGACTTCAACCCTAGCGGGATGGTCTCACTAAAGAAAACTAATCGTTTGAGCTACGTCCAGTTCACATCCTGACTAGATTTCTGGTCCTATGAACCTACTTCAACAACACCTTGTTTGCCTTATATACTGCCAAAAAGTAACTAGTCATATGTGAACGTATCAAACTATCCCAGCCGCAGCCACCATGTGCTCGTAACTCCCAACCGCTCTGACGGGTTCAGTCGGTGTCCCGACCTATTGTGCCACTGGCTACTACTTGTATTACAAGGTTTTTTCTCAAGGGTGATGGTACGGTAGGGCGATAGCCTAGAGTACTTTCTGCCTACGATGAAACGATAGGTTGGCTCAGGCGATGGAGCAACATGTGGCAACGCTCAATCGGCTCATTCGGGCAGATGAAGAAGGTTGATCTCCATGTATTTCGATGTTTCTTTTTTATTTCCCGGAAGAGTTTTTACTGCTAGTTTGATCAATAGATCCCAATGTAAAAAATGTTGGCAAAAGAATGACACATATATGCTATTGCCCGAAAACCAAGGCACACATAATGGAAATAAATTATCAGTTTGATGTCTTTTAGGGCTCTACGCAACTTGTTCCTAGTCGGTTGACCAATAACAGTGTCTTCGTCTATTGTTAATTAAACGTGAGAGCCTTGCAAAGACGCATATCCTAGAGTGCGTGAACACACCATATACCCTGACAAGCAAAAAATATATTTGTAGTTCTTTGCAGATGTTCACAATACCATGACACGTGTTTTGAATTCCCACGAGAACGGTATCCTTTACCACCAAGGATGCAGATTAAAAGTTTGTTCACCATTAGTCGAGCACTTATTAAATTGTAGCGAAAAAATTGGACTCTAGTGATAACCCCATGAAGAATAGTTCAGACTGAATCACCAAAATGCGGTTGAGGAGGAAGGGTCGGGTGTTGATGCTCCACCACACTCAGAATGGCTGGATCAGCTCAATCCATCGTCGGGAGGTAGATGCGGTGGAAATTTCTCATGGTCAGCCTCGTACGACAAGTAGGGCACTTCTTCTGAAATTGGATGGAGGCCTCTATGCATTTCTTGCAGAAGATGTGGCCGCAGATGGTAGACGACGCATCAACCAACTCACTGATGCAGACTGGGCAGGTGAACTTTGGTTCCCTTGGGAGATTCTTGATAGGCGTCGGGTGTGCCTGCGTCACCTTGGGCTGCAGTGTTTGGCGGAGCTTTAGGGATACATAGTAACAATAATATTTCGTATGTGTAAAGCACGTTGTAGAGTTATTACAGAGAATCTGTTGGCTTCACTTAAGCTTGTATCCAGTCTGGGTGTTACAATGTTGTTGTTGGACGCTCTAGAAAGATCATGTGGTGTAGGGTTTGTCCCCAAAGAAAGCATTGTGTTCACGTGCCCATCAAAAGCTCCTTCTAGAAAAAAGGCAAGACATACAAAGTTAGTAAACGGGAAACATGGTCAGGCAAACTAGGGAAAAAACACTCTCAAGACTTAAGAGTCTACAATGTGTAATTGGAAAATTCAAATATGAATATGGGTAAAATTGTTCCGGTAATACATCTTTCAGGTTAGCATTTTACTTAGAGCTTTTTTATCACACAATAGCTACTTAGTGGATGCATGGCTTTATTCTGAACACACGTGCTGGACTAAAAAACAGTGGTATTTGTTACCAGATAACTTGACGCTGCTCGCTTCCAAGGCTAGAAGCTCCACACTAATGTCTACATATCCAACTAATCTCAGTCATCAAATCATATGTTAATCAAACGACTTACATTGCTGCAACGGTGAGTCGTTGAACATGTTTAGCATGCAATTAATATCATACCAAATATCAATATCGACATTAGTTTGATTACTACAGAATTGATGCACAATTAATATTCTACCTATCCACGCGCAGCTAATATCATATCTAATATTAATGTGCATTCAATGTACACATTTACTAATAGCCCTATTCAGTAAATCTGTCTATACCTGGCAGTGAGGTATCCATGTTGGCGTTCTGCAGAACCATATCTGCACTAGACGTCAAAGGGCCAACATTGCCCGTCACATAAGACATTCTAGAATTTTCACTTGCACCTTGCATGATACTGGATGTCGGAATCATCGCCCCATAGCCAGGGGAAGATGCAATCTGCCTTAACGATTGTTGAATTTGTCGATATTGTCGGTTCTGAGCCGTGTAGGTCTTGACAGCAAACACCATCGCTTGTGGCATTGGTCGCCTCGTCATTTTATAGTACTCCATCTGCCCAAACAATAAGAGATATCGACAACTCACGTGATTAATTAAACGGTAATAGTATTTGATATCTTGCTCGGAATTAAATGGACTTGGTTGCCTGAAAATCAAAGCTACAAAAAAAAGGAAGGAAAGAGAGAGGAACACCTTGGTTGGGTATTTTCTAAACAAGATCTCCTCGAGCCGCGTCGCGAGCGCCCGGAGGCGCGGCCGCCAGGGAGGCAGCAATGGCAAACTTTCCAAAAACTTGAATCTGTCAATTAATATCAGATTCAAATCATTAGCTTTGATAGAGCAGAAGAAATCTTTTTGTAACTGATACAGGGATTCAACCGCACCCCTTAAATACGCAAAATTTATATGCAAGCCCCTGTTAAGTTTCAGGTACGTAGTCCACGATTGATCACCTTTGATGATATTTGTTGGGAATGATACAAGGCAGAGTGATAAACGTGATAGTACTGTTGTTGAGTAGGTCACTGAATACGACTACTACGCGTTCCAGTTTTTCTCAAAATACTCTAATCTACGCAATCGCAGTTGGAGCAGAGAAAAGCAGCAAGAGCTTACATCTTCTCTCGGGCCATGTCCCGCAGCCTCACAAACTGGGGATCGGCCGCGGCGGCAAGGGCCACCACATCCTGCATCCCGCCGGAGCCGCCAACGCCAAGCCCAGCGCTGCCAACCTGCTGATTCATCAGCGTCCTCTGCCACCCGTTCATCTTCCTGGCCAGTGGGGGACGAAGGCTCACCTTGGACTAGGAGGTGGCCGGCCGGAGACGAAGAAAGAAAGGGGACTTTGACCAGTGGCGTACTGGACTTGACTACCTGAGAGGGTCAATATATAGCGGGTGCTGGACTGCTGGGCGAGCACCGTGCTCCCCGTTCTATTGTAGCCGGACCACACGTAATTACTTCCTGCCAGAGAATGAGAGAATCGCCCTACGCCCGGTGTCACGCGTCACAATACAGCTGGTTGGTGTGCGGGAGCACCGGCCCCTCTTGGTTTTGGTTTTCCCTGCCTATCTATTGGACGTTCACCGCCAATTTGAAATAAGCTTGTTGGGACTTCTTTTCTTTTTTTGCAAGAAGGCCAACGCCATACATACTAATATTGTCCAACTCTTACAAGACCAACTTTACAAAATTAGAAAACAACACACATGTAATACGTAAGTATATCGCTGCCGTCTTCCTCTTGCACTGGATGGTGGCGCACTGTGAGCAAAGATCGATCCGTCTCTGGATCTCTCAAACACCCTTGAAGCCGAGGTATCATTGTTGAGACAAAGAATCACCTTGACCATAGCAAAGAAATGGATCCAAGTCAAGAAAAGGATGAATTGGGCAAAATTGGTAGCTTCGTGGCATCAAAAGGAGAAGGAACGAATCCAAGATTTGGGTAAAAATCGCATCAAGTCAAAACACTCAGTCTCCTCCAGGTGGGACACATCCCACAAGCATAAGTCACCCTCCATGTCGCCAAGAAGCCGTCTACGAGGGAGCAGACAAGGAAGAAGGAGGAGAATGACAATACCGCCTCTAGCACGACCCTAGGGTCGACGCTAATGACACCATCTCCACCGCGCCATCACAACATCGTTTCATCGCCTCTGCCATTTCATTCACGGGCACCAATGCCTCCCTGGCACATTTCATGTTAAATTTTGTAGTCCACTCGTATAGTAGTTTCATGCCTCCCTTAATACAGTAAAAATTTGGAAGAAAATTGGAGTCGTTTTCTTGTAAATAAAGTTCAGCCACCTCATATATATAAGAGATGTGATGACCGATTGAGCACCCAATCAATCAATCTACCAATTTTACCATTATCTTTTTATCTCGTTTTATTCTTCTCTGTTCTTCTTTGTCCTTCATGTTCGGTGGCAGCGATCGATGAGACCTTAGGGGTGTTCAGGTCGATCTAGGGCATCCCATAGCAAGTGGTCCCCCATGGGGTCCCTCCCAGGCATGTGGGGTTTCGAGTCCTCAAAGATCTCGTCGACATATATTGTGTATCCGGCGAGACTCCTCTGGAGACATTGGCTTGCTTATCATGCTCGACGCCGGGGTACACATTGACGTGTTTGTGTGCAAATAGAAAGCCAATTAGCTTTGTAACAAGTAAGCTTAGCTTTAATTTATCAATAATAAAGTGTGGACTGCAGATCTGTTATTCCCAGCCCAGGTAGGATGAGAAGGGTACCCAAGCCCAAGGTGCAAATTGTTAGAGTCCATATTTGGAGAAAGGGAAATATTCTTAATTTGATTACGAGAAATTTGATCGGTATATTTACTAAAGAGGATGGAACATTTACTCCAATTTGGTGCTTTGCCGAGAAATATCACAAGAAATATAATGATATGCGCAAAAATGGAGGCCTCGTTATTATCCGCCTACCGCAAATAATCGAGTAATTCACAAACATCAAAAAATGTATTGGGGGGGAGGGGGCAAAGGGTCAGTTGGATACTTTCCAAATGATTAGAATTAAACGCTTCTTGTAGACCAAGTGTCATTTCATTGACAACAAGAGTGAAAAGATATGGCGACAACAACGACCTTGTCGGATACCTTCGAGTGCCCCGAAAGAAGTGAAAAGGTTGGGCATTAATGTGAACGGCAAAGGAGACATACATCATGCGTTTGAAAATTAAGTTTATGAAATGACATGGAACCCTTTAGAGTCCAGGTCAGCCGGCCACACATCCACCAGACATCAACGTATTTCCATGCCATTGCCAATGGTCTCCATAGGCGTTGCACCATTGCAGTGCTTTGGGAAGGACCTAGGTTGCTCCATGACAAGGTTGAGATCCAAACTCATGTCGACGACTTCTACAAAGATTAGTTCCTCCCTTACACGAAAAATGTTGAAGCTGCTATCTTGTCCATGCGTCCGGATTCGGCACCTGGTCCCGATGGTTTGCATGCACGGTTCTTTTTGGAATTTGGAGTGCCATCAAAGGGTTGGCGATGGACATTTTCCAGGATTTCTATGTCGGGGTGCTTGACGCCTCGCGTTTGAACTATGGTGTCGTGACCTTAATCCCAAAGGTAGTGGGAGCGAAGGATATCCCATAGTTCTGGCCGAGCACGGTTATTAATGTGATCTTTCATATCCTAGCTAAGGCGCATGCCATTAGGGTGGCTCCTATTATGTCTAGAATTATCCATGTGAACCAATTGACCTTTATCCAAGGCCGGTTTGTTAAGAATATTGTGGATGCATTTTTTGTACTTTTAGGCAAGTTCAATCACTTTTTTTAATGTAGCAGGTTCAATCATTGAGCTACCATGTGCGCGCGTTGTGTGTGTGGGGGGGGGGGGCATTCAACA